AAGAACAAAGAAGCGACGTCCTCTGCCAGTTGGTGGAAGCGGGGCTTGCGAACACTGTCCCCTCTGAGAAGACTCCTCTTCTCACCCCTTTCTCACTGGATTCTCATCCCGACCTTCTCTCGTCGTCTCTCTCCGTGTGCGTGTGTTTCTGCTCGCATACTCTCGCAATATTCTGCTGCTTCCATCGGCGCATCTTGCGGACCCGGGGACAGCGCGTACGAAAAGTTCATTTCGTCTCCAGGTAAAGCGATTTTCTAATGACGTCACGAAAGTGATGTCAAGTTGAGCAACCTCCGTACACGAACGTCATCTATCCGTTCCCGTACTTGCTTGCGATTCTATCCCCACCCCTCGATCCCTTCCTTCTCCCCTTGCGTCGAGTGTCGCGCGTGACAATCTTGCGACAGGGCGACAGGAGAGTAGCGATATTAACACGACTATATGCGTATGACACAGCATCTATCATCGACGGATAACGTAATCCAGGGAAAAAACGTTTGATCGAAGATTTTTTGCGTGGGCGTTACTCGCGAGGATTGATGAACCGTAAGCTCGCTCCTTCGAGTGGCTCGAGACTCGTGCAGGGAATCGTTCGAAAATTAGGGGGGAGGGGGGGGGGCAGTACGTTTTGTTCGAGTTGTTGCGGTATTGTTGAACGGAATGTCGGAACGATGCGGGCGTAAGATTACGATTGCACAATGATTCTTTTTTTTTTTCTTCCTCTTTTTCTTTATAAACAACGATTAAAACGGAGCAACATTTTCCAATGTTGCACGAGTTCGCTTCGACATCGCTCGGCGAGCAACCGTTTCTTTATAATAATATTCCTTTTGTTTAGTAAAAATTATAAGACAGATTCGATTCGATTTCTCCTCTACTTGGTAGTAAAAGATCGTAAGAAACTGTTCGTTAACGTTTAATCTGTCTTCCATCTGGTGTTGTACCAACAGTTCGATATATCGTTACGGCATATCTAAATAGTCCACAGCCTTCGATTTATCACGTTCAGCGGCTGTTTAGAGAATGCCATTAAGTGGATTGCTTAGCCGCTATCGATTTTCTACACTTGATAGTAGTAACGCGCGATCTTGGCCAGTTCCTATCTTCATTTTTCAGCAGATCTTTAATCCATCGAATATAATTATTACTTGTAGTGTAAATAATTAGAAAAAAAAAATTCAAATACGTCGTGATAGAAAGGGGAGGAGTAAATTTTTTCTAAGCGATACCTTTTATTAGAGATGGGGTTCGACCGCGTCGAGGGATGCGATAATGTTTTCACGAGCGTTTTTAGGGCCGATGAGTCAGAATAACTGGAACCATTATCGATTTAAATCTGAAGTATACCAGCTCAGATGTCTCCTCGAAATCTTATTCGTAGAGTACCGTAGAATTGATGAATCGAGTAACGCGTCGAAACAAGTGGAGAGTTAATGGAATTTCAGACGCTAGTTTCGATACGATTCTTGTCGCGCTGCTGCGGTTTTCTCTCCTCCCCCCCTTCATTCTTGCCCCCTTCCAAAGCACGTAACATATGCGCGCAGATTTACGAACAGAGCACATTCGAGCCAACCTATCGAGTTATTATCGCAGGAACCGCATTAACCCCGACTACTCGACCGGTAACAAGGACCACCGATCCCATCGATACCATCGATACCACCAACGCGACATGGCAGTCCGAATCTGTTTCGCGTTACATAGCTCCTCTTTCAAAATATTGATATACAAGCGAAAATGAATATGATCTTATGTCAACGCGTTCACAATTAAATAAGATGCCGAGGGTCAAACAGTTCATTCTTGGTACTTCCTGGACCAAAAGGCATTCGTAACTCAATACGTGAACGTAGAGTGTTGAAATATAGATAAGGGCCATGAAAGCCGGCCCGCCTGGGATCAGGACTTCTGGTCATTGCCAGTAAGTCGTTTAAGAAAAGCTAAAGAGAGAACATCCAATAAAACATTATAGTTATCCTGCTTCCCGAAAACCAATACAAAAGCTGACCGATTAGAATTTTAAACAGCAAATTGTTGAAATACCGTGTAGAATCTATTTGGCGTTACATAAAATGTCATTAGCCAATGATCGTTGTCTAGCCTGTTTACCAGAGTGAACGTTGTATCGAAGCCTTTAAGGTTCCTTTACGTGAACTACATTCTTCCGATCGGTTTGCGCGCCTTGTCTCCGCTTACATTCAAGGACGATTTAGACGTAACCGGTTGCTTTCTTGCGCATAATATTCCTAACGTAGTTTCAGCTTTAAAAAATTCCAGAATAAAGCGGCGCTGGTGGATATTCTATCGAAGTAGACGTTCGCTTTATCGCGTAATCGACGGATTAATGTAACATTAGTGGCCTCCTTTCAGCGTAGCTAATCTGCATTTCTTCTACGTGTTATGTATCATCTCGTTGGACGCGCGTGTCTCTCTCTCCAGACTTAAAATTCAACGACAGTATCGACTTAACTATTTACGACCCTGCCAAAGACAGTGTCTCGCGAATGTGCATCCTACACTCTTTTAAACACGAGTTACTTACCGTTTTAAATAACGTGTTGCTCATTGAGCGTTCGTTATCGATTCAACGAATCGTTGGAGATTCATTTGATTGGCTACCGAATGAAACGCGTGCAAACAGCGCGTACGTATCTTAAATGATTCGCGTCAGATACCGTCTTACAATTAAACGTATCGCGAAGAAGAATACAGACGTTAAAGTTGACTTGAAAATTCTACGACGAAAAGCTCGTAATTATTTACGTCCTTGGTAAAGAAGAGAGAGCATATTATAGCCATAGTAGACACTTTCGTAGGACTAGTACGCGTACGCATCTGTTTGACTCGACTACTAGCGAGCACATGCAATCACCGTTTCTCTTTGTTGGCGCATGCGCGTGCGCATGCGCGTGCACGCGCGCATGCGCATCGAGACGACGATCTGGACTCTAAACAAAGGTATTATCGCGCATACCAGATCTGCGTTGAATTACAAAGTGACTTACGAAAGGGCATCCACTTTGCTTGGTATCTCTTGTAAGCGCTTGCAAAAGAAGAAGTCGAGAACAATGGGCTCGGGTCTCCTAATTAACGGTACGAAAAACCCGTTTCGACGGAATCCTATATAATCTCTCCTAGTTTGATAACTTCTTCGAACGATAACCCTTTAATCCACTTATTTCGCGTTACCGTTTCGACTGAGAAAAATATTTAGGAATCAATCCAGTATGTATTTTAGTCTCAACAGAGTTCACGTTTTAAACGTTTCCTTAGGCATCGTTATTGTGTCGCGCGAGAATAATAATGCACTAGACAGATCGCGTCTTCTGATCATCGGAGCGAGTTTATTTCGCACTTGACGAGAACGTTCGATAACAATTGACGACGATCGCGACCACTACGCTTTGCATTTATTTTTGCGTACGATTAACGAGTGTCACGATTGTTTTTCAACGAGCCGGTCATACGGTTCCTTTTGTTTGCATACCGATACTCTTATCGATTCCAACTCCGATACTCGTGCGTGCATCGACGTACGCAACGTCTAGTGTCCCTTTAAACCTTATGTCATAGGGAATGATGATGTTTCGAAAAAAAAAACAATAGTAAGTAGGTGGATAGATTTCGGAACGGTTCTTTACGATCGTAAGCAACGAGAACGAAGGTAAAAATGTATCGGCAACGAATTGATACTGATACTACAAACGTAGAAACTACATTGTGGCGTGTTTGTTGGGATGTGTGAAGGAGAACCCGTTAGAAATTGTTGGATGCTACTCTTGCATGTCGCGAACGGGCGTACATGCTCGACTCGAGTCCGCCTGCAGTGGTGTGCCGTGGTTAGGTGTGCGCATGTGTATGCACGTATGAGCAGCAAGTATGCACGTCCGCCATAGACCCTTTCTCGTCGTCGAGAGTTACGAAGCTCGAGTAGTGAGCGCACCTCGAAAGAAGAACGACCACGACGGCCAGCGTGAAAGTAAAGAAAGTGGGCCGCTCAAAGTAGCGTTCAACCTAGTACCCACCATCTTTCCCTCCGTTCCTCCAATTCATTCAAGGCTCGCCTAATCGCGAATTACGCTTTCCTCGATATCTTAAATTTGACAATTTTTCTTTCAACGTTTAGGACAGACGATTGTCGCTCAGAAGCAGTATCGATCCACATTTCTCTATCAGAGCTCGGTAAACTTAAATTAATACCTCTAATTTATATTATTGATCTATCGGGTCTGTTCGAGCATGTCTGGAAAGTTAGAATCATTCTGATGGTATAATATCGAGAAAAGTCGTTTCTCTCTTTTTTCCAAGTCGATCTCTTCTCTTCTCTTTTCCTTTCTCTGTCCCGCCACCATTCGAGTGATAACCCGTACAAGCATCGGACAGAGCTTCCCATGGTCGCGTGAAAAATAACCCTATTAACCGTAATTGTCGCGAAACGTACACTTCCGTGACTGGCAAAAGACGACGCGACGTCGGAACGTAAGCTAGATTCATATATTTTCAGCTCGATTCGAACACTACGCGACACGACACAGGTCCCGTTTTTCCTGTTGGTTGGCTGTCGTCATTGTGCTCAACCGAGAAGATAATAATCGTAACGTGGTCGACTCGAATAGCCGGCCTTGATAGCGCGGCGATTCTTTTATTGGCTACCGACAGGCTAAGGAGCGAACGATATTTACCGAGAGACTCGGCATAATTGTTGTCTTATTTGGAATTTGGAAATGCAAGGGGTATTTGATTAGTCGCGATGGATGTCGGGCTGTGGGGTTACGTACGCTCGTGGAAATAAGCTACGTTGCACGGCTTATAAATATGCATAAGTACTCTGTCTGCGTTATCGAACACGGCGTGCCTTTGCTCGTTGAATTTTTGAAGGAAATACCCGAGAACATAAGGAAGTGCCGCTTTTAAAGGAACTTTGCGATTTATAATTTCGTTGTCACGGTTAACTACGTAAGTAACTACGTCAACAGATAAGACGCGTTCGTTTACGATGCGTTTCTTTTTACGTTCGAATACATTTGTTTTCGCTGAGTATTTCGCCTTTCGACGATCTCATTGTCATTTTAAATAGCGATTAGAAGGAGAGAAGAATGAAGTGGAAGAAAATGTATCATGATCACGCGAAACGTTTTACCGTCCATTGTACCTGACCTCTTTGAATAAAATCGTCAAGCAATGGATTAGTTGGCTCGGTTCCATCATCCGCTGGTTTCTCGAAACTCGCTGTTACGATGCTACTTAGAACATTTTCTTCCAATACACGTTGGATCTCGAATGTACTTTATATTTTATCACGTACTTGTAGCTCTAGTATACATTTTTCGCGAGATATCGGATTGGAAAATCAAGTAAAAGCGTTTTCAAATTAAAAATTACGCACTCTCTCCTGAGTTTCTTTCTTTTGTTATCCGAACACGGCGCATTGCAACACAATCCATCTACTTATTTCCAACTCGTACGACACACACCGTACACTAACGCGCGTATAATAGAACGACACGCACGTACAGTTTGCTAGAAAACTTACGTGCACGGAAAGAAAGCTTTATTCTTCTCCGTTTTTCGATTATCCGAGGCACGCTTCGCTCGAACAACACGCGTATTCCTTTACGATCTTCAAAACTCCCTATCGATTCTTTCTTTAGTCATACGCGCCTTTCTCCTAAGTCATTGCCGATTCAATTGTTCCCGCTGGTGTCTCCTAACAATATAAATTTGCCTGTTGAAAAATAACCAACTAACATTCTCCGTACTTCTTTATTTACCTTCGTACCTTGGCTGCAACGTGTCGTAGACCTAGTTTTGTTTTTGTAACCGCAGTTACCCAGCGTTATCCACGTAAACGCTTACCGCCGCATACACACCGTGCACCCACACAGCTTGCATACTGAATTCGTTAGACCTGCACGTGCGCGCGTTTAATACATATGCTAGTCGAGAGCATCTTTTTAAAGCAGCCGGTAAACACTTACACGCGTGTATACGCGCTCAAAGGGATAAAGGTATTCGTACTTTTCGAGATTTGTAAGCATTTCTTATCTTAACTACCGAACCCTGCTGATTTGAACTTGGCATTTGGAAATCTTTTAACGAAGAAAACAGTCGGTTTATCTGAACGGGAACGGAGGTCGCGTGAAATATGAAATCAGTATCGGTTAATTAGTATCGACGAAGTGAGACTGCACGATTGTAATAAATACGTCGTTGGCAACTGACTATGTTGCATACGATGCATAGTACGCGATTAATAAATAAGCTTTTTTTTAAATAAGACGCATTAAAATTGACGTTATTTTAAGCGCTTGGTAAATTGAAAACACGTCTGATTTTTTACGCATCGGTTAGCATGGAGGGACTACCGGCACTACGAATGAAATATAATCGAATAATTAACCTCTCGGGAGATTTCGTTATTAGAAGACTATATCTGTACAGTATACACGGAGAGAGATACGCTCCAGGCAGGTCAGTTTCCACGGGACGGTTACGGCGATTTAGAACAAGTCTATTTAACGATGAAAGCAACGCAACAGATAGACAGAGAGAAAAAGAGAGAGAGGGGATAACATTCCAGCGCGTAAGAGAGGGACCCGTTGTAAATTTAACGCACTGATCTCATTCTATGGTGAATCCGTCGACGAAAATAGCGAATGGTGAACGTGTTATTATTAAAGTGCGTTTAGGCTGCTTCGACGTATGGCATGCCATTAAATTCCTTTTCTATACTAAACACTTTTCTCGAAAATATTTTTACGATAGCGCCGCAAATGGTAACGCAAGATCATACTTTGGTGCGTGACAAAGGCCGTCGTGGCGACTTAACCTTTTGACTGTAACCTTAGGTTAATTTAGCTGTAATCTCTTCGTTTACGCCTCACGAACTGTTCCCGCTTGAAACATCAATTTTTACCAAGTTAAAGCCATCATAGGTGTTCGATGAAACATAGAAAAGTTGTTTGTAAAATAACGAAACGTAACGTTCTTTATTTGGAACGTAATGAACGCTTCTGATCATACTCCGTTCGGGAAGGGGTTAACAACCGACATCGAACACCTAACGTACCTTTACGGTGGAAACGCATAATAGAGGAACCGTGCGTACGCGCATCCGTTCGTTCACTCCTGGAATGAGTTTCGAGCCGTGTTTAGTCAAGCAAATAGCCGCGACGCGGCGCTGCAACGCTGCACCGCTGCGAATGCAACTCTAGTCGAAATTTCGGGAGGGCGATGACTGGGGGGGCTTCACCTCCCACAAACTCTGATCTCGTTTTTCTGTCACTGACCTTCCGCGAACCTTCCACCCACGCTCGATAGAACTACTCTTGCATTTATTAATTAACTAATTATAAAGAAACGAATTTTTCATAATTTTTTTGTTGAAAAGTAGTAAGAATTATTATTATTAATAATGAGCGCTATAAATTACTTTCGCGACTTAAAGTTTGTAGATGCGACAGCGGCATAGACAAAACAAATAGCATGTTAAAGGTATCGACGATCCAAGTCGGGGATCACCGAACCATGTGACATCCTTAGAATGCAAAGCGTCGCTTGCAGTGGCAGAAATCCAAGGGGGGAGTCTCTAAGTATACATACATACATTTGGTATACATAAGTGGTTGCTGTTATTACTGTGCTCAGTTTTATGAATTCCCTTAGGCACGCGTTTCTTTCCACCCGCGTGGACATAAACGGTCGACGAGCGGGCACGGGCGCGTGCGCCTGCGAGCATGCGCACCACTCGCTACCCATTATGCCACAATAATTACTAATGTCTGCATTACATCACGCTTATATACGCGACACACGCCTTCAGGGAAATCCTGCGCGTGTTAACGTCATTAATGTCGTGTCTCTTCGAAACGTTTGATGCCATGTTCGAAAACGGCTCACCTTTTTCACGCTTGTTTTCCATCCATTAAATCGTTAATACCCAAACCTGTGCGGATGGAACTTATAAACGGTAGCGCGAAATTAATATAGCAACTTAGAAGGACGACGAACGATGGCTCGAAAAGCTCAATTGCAGAAGATTAGAATAATCACGATCAAGAATAAGCGAAACCAGATGAGCTCCTCTGACGCATTCGCGAGGACACTTGGCCAGAAATAGGGAATGAGCATGCCGAGAGCAATCTCAGTCAGCAGCGACAAAGATTTTCTCGGTTCACCGATGCTCCAACAAATGGTTTTCTTGTAATACGAAAGGAAAGTTTAAGTTGAGCATCTTTGTGTCGTAACGATTGAAGGGCCGAAAAGTTGAAGGGATTCTCTGGTCGGTGTCATCACGGCAAAAACACGGGCATGGCAACAAGGAGAGTTAAGCGCGTCTTCCAACCAGCTGGTGGAACGTGTGACGTCACGCGTCTACCTACATCGACGCTACGGTTGTCCTCATCCACCTCCTCCCCGTCACTCCGTCCACTATCGATACACTCTACTCTCCCCACCCTTCAACACAATTCCCCCACCAAACTGCTGGAATACTCACACACGTTACGAACACTCGGTCCGTACGTGCACACTGTCGTACGTGGCACGAGACACGTGTCAGGGCCGTAGTTCCCTGTTGGACCATCTCCCGTGAGAGTCTCATTGAATCGTCATGCTATATTTATTGTTAATCATGGTGTATTATAGGAAGACCGGTTAAACGTTAAGTAATCCGATTCTTTGGTTCAATATTTGTACAAACCGCCTTTTAACCGACTGAAATTATGTAATATAAGAAATCATGTTATAGACACATCAGAAATCTTATCGATGAACCGAGTAAAGCGTGTTTCATTCTCGGTTGATGAGCACGATCGATGAAAGCATCGACCGCGATCGTGTCGATAAAAGAGCAGAAAATAAAGAAGAATCGCGTACGAAAGCAACGCGTCGTGGCACGACCCTGATTCGTAGTAGATACACAGGGTTGCTGATAGGTGGGCAGTGGGCGGCGGGCAGAGGGAGCAGGGGCAGCCGAGTATCGGCGACACGAGCCGATCCATCCCCTCCACTTTCACGACCGATCTCTGGCTCGAGACTAGAAAAGTGGAAGGGCGGTGTTGGTGGGGATAACATCTGCTCTTAGCGTGATTGCCGTGTATTGATGTAGCTTTATGGTGCGCGGCAGGCTGTGGGCAACAAAGTAAGCTTACGGTCGTTAATGTTCCCTACTACGTGAAATTCGAGGCCGCCGGAATATTGCGCCGCGTACGATTTCGATGTGCTTGCCGCGTTCCAAGCGAGATTCGCTAAGTTACGGGACAAGTGGTTCGCCGGACAAGAAATACGGAGATCAACCAAGATCGCATCGACCAAAGATCGACAACGCTACCTATAGGGTATCAACGAAGCCACGATATATACGCATACACGTAGAATTAGAATTAACATATTGTAAAAAAGAAAATCTATGCTCGCGGTACTTTGTTCTTCGCGATGTCGCAATAGATGCGTGTAATAGCTGCCGTAATCCCTCTTTGTACATTATATAATAGTTTTTGAAAACCTGTTGTTATAGAAATAACGTCTTATGCAGTATTGAACGTTATGCAACAGGCCGGTGTCGATGCAAAAAAAAAAACAAGTATGATATAATTATTTTTTATCCGCGTACGATATTAATGAAGCTTTGAAACATTTTTCTTTCTACGATCTTATCCGTGTTAATTCTAATACACAGATACGGATAAAACGGAGAGATTAGGAGCACGAGACTTTTGATTATTTTAGCGACACCGATGTACATTCCATTTTTCTACGTTTGAATTTCGTGTCGTAGCATATAAGCCTTGCTAGAATTCACGAGAAAGTGGGTCTTCCTATAGCAACCCAATTGACCTGCCTTAAGAGAGACTTACTTTCACAGATATAAAATTACATGAATTTAAGCCGATCTATTTCAGAATTTAGAAATTTCAACGTTTCCCGTTTGAGTCTGGATAAATATCGAAATATATTTGTAACAGTGATCTCCAGAAATGGTAAGAATTCCAAGCAGCTGAAAATACCCAATTCTTTTCCGGTCTATTTTAAGGTCCATCGGGATAGGCGGGAAATCTCCAGGGCTGTGTGTTACACTTCTCGTTGATAAGATGTCGCTCTTGTCCTCCTCGTCCTCGTCGTCTTCGTCGGTGTGTAACGATGTTTAATCAATAGGCTATATTTTAAATGAATAATAATTTTGTAAAAATTTGAAAATTTCCTAAGACAATTGTATTTGCCTTTTTGTTTGGTAAAGACATCGGTAGGTAACTTAATTCCGGGGTGAAACGTTCTTCGCTTATAGGACAAAGCCGTTCTAAATACAGGCAATTTTTTTCTGATGTCTTCGCTTATTGCGGCTACAGGAGAAAGTCGTTCGAATAGTCGCGGTCTATTTAGCGATTGCTTCGTATAATTTCAACGATCGTGTGTATGTTTTAAAATGTAGAAATTTCAAAGAAATTCAGGAAATTTCAGAACATCAAATTTTCAAACAGGTACACGACGCCTTATTAAAAAATGGTTTTAAAAGTTGAAACCAGTGAGGCGTACGAGATGAAAAAAAGCGTGAGAAGTGGCCGGAAAAAACGGTAAAAATGGCTCGAGGAAACGGTACCGCGCGTCCTTTATGGAAACGAACCTTTCATGAGTCGAGGCTCTATCAGCGTGGATCTTAAAGAATCTTTGTCTCTGGAGAACGTTATCTTGAGAATATGTCTTTGTTCACAAAGAATATCGTGGTATCCGTTTCCTTGACGTACACAGCTGCTTTTACCCTCGCGAAAGAAAATTTCAATTTTCCTTTATATTGAATATTATTCAAATTATTCAAATATTATTTAACGCTGGTAATACGAAGCGAAAGTGATCGGTGTGAAATCCTACAGTCGTTATCTTTTTTTTTCTTCTCGTCTTATCTACGCGAATTCGTGCCGCAAGATAAAGCAGATAACGCTGAAATTAAAAATAAAACGCATTAACCCGCATACAAGCGGACCGTTGAGACAACACTTTTACACTCTGTAATTATCTTCATTTTCTAAATTCCGGATATCATTAGATATGTTTCGTTAGTTTGAATCATGATCGACCTAGCTTCATCGTTCGAGGGTCAGTATGAATAAAATTCAAAGAGAGTGACCACGGTGCGGTGGATAAAAAAAAGACTACGTGAAACTTACTCGTTTCATTATTCGAATCGAGTAAAAGTACTTGGGTTGGTGCAATTAACGAGCTACCAGGAATCCTTACCAGAGTTTCGCGCGTACGTGTTTATGCATACGTGTGCCGTCCGGTATACCTGTTCCCTATCGCGCCATGATATCTGAGGCTAAGTGCTTAGCGATGTGTTCGAGCGAAAAGTCCACGGCGTCTACCTTTCGTCAATTTTACTAATAACCCAATGTGTAATGTTGTGCTCGAATATAATAGCTGTAAGAAAAATAATTTTCTTCTCACGGTGGTTGCTGTAAATACTTCTTTACAGTAAAAAGAGAAAGTGATATAGGTATCTCCTTCGAAGTTGAGCCAAGCTCATCACTAAATGCATACGCGTGACAGGCAGAACGAACCGTGTCCGTGAAGGTAGCCGTGCGCGAGTGTGCGGTAAGTTGGCGCGTCCACGGAGTGGGGAGAGACGTGCGCGCATGCGCGAACCGTGCGTAGTACACACGGCCAATCGTGACGTCACGCAACGCCCGATAACACTTTTGTTGTCGTCGGGCTGTCGTCGTACGTATGGTGCGATTACGCGTGACGCACAGATCAGTTCCAGCCACCAGCGACTACGTCTCACGCGAAACGCGAGTTTTCTTTTCTCCGTTACCATTTCGTGATCGAACACGAACCAACTGTCACGGAACAACATATATATATATATATTTTTTTTTGTTAACGGGCTTTGTTTGCCCGACACGGTTATCTGGTGGTACCGCTGGTCGCTCGGTTTTCTGGTTTCCTTTGCTCGTGTCGCACAAAGGAATGTGGAAAGTAGTGTAGTGAGCGTACGTCCGACGTTACAGTTTTGCATAGTTCGAAAGTGAGTTCTAACCGCTGACTTTACAATGTTGTTAAACCGTACATCGCTTTCCCTTTTGACGTTTTATAAAAGTTGGAACAAGCTCGAGCAGAGTTGAATTTGGTAATTTCACAATTTCATGATCAGTTGAGTAATACAGTGATCGAAGATTTTGTTCTAATTATAAACACGTTAATCAGCATTTCAGCGAAAGCGCTATACGTGTTGAATATCGATATGCGCGAAAAAAGGGATCCAATAAAATACGGTCAATCGTCAGTGTGATAATCTAACGATACGAGTAAAGATAAGCATTGAATATGATAGCGATAGCGATATGGAATATCAGCTCCGTTCGGTGTCCGCATTTATTTCTAAGCTTGTAAAATGCCCACCGATTTCTTTTTACCCTCGCATTCCATCCAAGGCCTCTGCAGGCAACGCAATGGTCTAACCTGATCGTCCCCATATACCGATCGCTTTCTACTTTGAGCGATTCAATATGGAACTCCTCGAAGCTTTTCCTTATTTACACTTTATATGAAACCTTTGTCGCCAGGGCTCGTTTTGCTTTTCTTTTTCGTCGTCGATCCAGAAAACGTTGGAAAGCGTTCGAAAACGAGCAGCGATGATTCTCAAAGGGTTAAGTATATCTGTTTCGAGATGACGCGTTTAAATCGATCTAATTTCGTCCCGAGGTCAAAAGCTTCGTTTAATTGCCAAACAGTGCGTTACAGCTGAGATGTAAGCTCGATTGTAACGACGTGGGTTTTTTAATCGTGTAAAGAGCCGTGTTTAAAATTTATTTAATGTAACAGTTGGTTATAAAAGACATAGACGCGTTGAACTATTTCCACACAATCGAGAACTAGTTCTTTTTTTCAACTCGATTCGTTTGGATCGCATAAATAATGTCGATCGTATCGACAGTTACGTTGTTTCAAATAACTGTACCGGCTAAAAAGGAGACGGGAGCATGAAGAGAGAAGGTACATACGTTATATATATACACATACACGCTGATATACGTAGAGGGAATGGGAAATGTGTGTATTTGTATGTATAGATGTAACTAAAGTTACGGAAAGGAGAAGGGAGAGGACGACGCGCACGAGAGTCAGCGACTCCAAAGCAGACTTTACAGGTTAGGTAACGTGTATCTATGGCGGTTTTTTTCCCTGCGGAGAAAGTTAGCTTAGGCTCACTTCGAGCGTAAAATCGTCTTTCTGTACACGACGGTTCTTCTTTATTTTCCCCTGCCGATGGAATTAAATAATTTTCCAATGACATTGTTTTGGACGTTATTAAAGAACAATAAGATCGTTGTTCAAATTCCAAAATGGTTCTTTATTGATTGACAGTGTGATACAAAATGGACAAATCGTTTAGCAACAAGTGTCATGCGGTTTGAAACCGTTTGTTCTTTGAATGTGAATGCTACGCGGTAGCCATCTTGTTGGCACGTAAAAATATCGAGGGGTGCCATCTGTCGACTAATGGAACAATTTATTTTCAGAATTATTTCCGTCTGTACGTGACTCAAGCGGTCATTCGTGGAAATAATTTTGGTAGAGATTCATCTTTCCGCTGAATGTTAATGATTTACATTTAGAAATGTAACTGACTCATTTCGCGGGAAGAATCTTTCGCTGAATGTTAATGATTTTCATTTGGAAATATAACTGACTCATTTCGCGGGAAGAATCTTCCGCCTCTGTAGGAAAATTGACCAAAATAACTTGTTGATAGCATACTGTTACACGCGGTAATAAATCACGGTTGAACGTACTTTGAAATAAAAATAAGAAATTAACGTAGTTTTAATTTTTTCATCAAAAATTTCTCGTTTTATAAGTTCGAAGTTATGTTAGGATCATCGATATCTCGTCAGTCGATCTATAAATTTGTTTAAAATTTGAATACGTAAGTAAGTACTTACATTAGCAGCCGATAAAATAGGTGATAATCCTGGTTACAAATAATAGATGTAGTGCAATTTATCGGTTTATCAGGCTATAAACGAAATACGTTAGGCCATTTTCGAGCACACCGTACCGGCGAACCGGTGGGTCGAGTAGATCCGGACGTTACGGACCGAGTAATTTGTTCTAATTTTGCAAAGCACCACGGGTTGCGAAAAGTGCGCTGCGATCACGAACGCTTGTTTGCTCTCAACTATTTGTTACGCTCGATTTTCATGGACAATATGCAATTTGATCAAAGTGTGTTAAAAGCATATCTGTATCGTCATCGACGAGAAATTAGCAAGCAAATTATATGCGACGAATTGTGCGACGAGCAACGATATACTTACTATGAAATCGTCGACTGTATTGCTTTCAGACGACTATGCTCCGATTACGAGCGATAGAATTACGCGCTGCTATTAATATCACTTTCTTGTTAATTAGTCAAACGATATCAGGCGCTGTCGCATTTGTTGAAAAATTATACGCAACTATAAAATATACATCGTGCAACATCCAGGTGTAAGGAAGGAAGAAAGATTTAAATAAATTTCTATATCTCCTTCTCTCCCTGTTTCTGTTTCTCGATCAAAATTTCAAGCGATTTCTTTAGACGTGATTGCGACACGGCGGAAGTAAACGAGTATTCGGGTCAATTGCGACAATAGCGGAAAAGAATACGAGTATTCGGCCCATTATTGGCCACTACGCGCTACATAAACGCGTACTTACGTACCGCTACGCTGCCCTCTATAACTGTCTTTTTTACCGTCCCTCGGTAATACCGTTACACATGCATTTTTTCGGTAGCTTTATAGAGAACAAATCTATTACATTCTAAGTTAACTAAAATAAAATATTCGTTCGAAACCATAAGTTTACTTTTACTTTGAAGCATTGGTCCCTCGAAGATGGAATCGATAGAAAAATAAGCTACGTAGGCAACAATTATCTCCTATACCGTATAACTAACCAAATTTTTTTTTCTGTTTCAGACGCTAAGATGAGATTGGAGGAAGATTTAGTAATTCGTAGGAGCAGACCCACAATGATTTCCGCCAAGTATCGTGCGAGAGAAGAACGCCGTCGCCTGTTGAAGATTTCGGCCGGTAAATTGAGGAGAATCGAAGATCCAGAGGCCAGCCTCTGTAGATCGGTTCTGATAAACAATGCCGTGAGGCGATTGCAACGAGAGAATCGGGACGAAAAAACGAGGAATTACGGTCTTCCGGTGGTCACATATCTGAACGACTCCACGAAAGAGAACAACGTTTCTAGTAATCTTATCGTCGGTGTGACGGACGACGAGACGTCCTCGAGGAAAAGGTAAGCAGGATGTTAAACTTGGAGTGGTCGGACGTTGTCGAATAGCTTTGAGATTCATAGGCAGTAGCGGAAGAAGAACGGCAAACGTTGCTAGCGGTCGGTAGAAATTGGTTTTACATAATGTAGATTACGCAAGTAATGGCGAATCGCGTGGTTGTTGCGCAATATTTTCAGTAGCGTCGAGTCTCATGTCCTGATCACGCGTGCGCACCACCACCACCACCACTACCGCCACCGCCGCAATAGTTCCCTCCTAACACTTTCCAAACAGCCGCACGCGAACAAATTGTAATCGGTGCTAAATCATTCTTCTTATTTCTCTGTAGATTGAACGACGACTCGAGGAACGAGGGACTCGGTACGAAGCGACAGAGGCACGACGACCTCGACCTTCAGGACGACGTGTTCAGCGACTTTTATATCCTTCCACCTACCCCTCGATTGCTCTCTCATATCGACGAGGTTCAAGAGCCGGAATCCCCACATCACCATCATCTGGTATATCCAGAGGATCGTTTAGGATCCGTGGATGTTCGGTCAGGCAGCACCATCATCAACACGAGTACAGCGAGCACAACGACGAACGGGAATTCCGCCACGTCCGCGGCCAGTTGTTGCAATTCCGTGATGTTCTCTAGCGAGTTGGACGATGCGAGTAGCCAATTGACCGGCGTTACGAGATCCAGTGACGTTGGCATGATGGAGGCATCGGACGTGGTCGATCCGGACAGGATCTGCGATTTCGCGAGGTTCGCGGATTCCGCGAAAAGCTTGGAAGAACGTTTGGTAGAACTGCAATCGTTGGACGAACATTTCGATCTAGCGAAATTCGAAAGAAATAACAATCAAAGTTGCGGCAGAGCATTCCACGATATCCAAACCTTCCACAGCTTAGTGCCCGGTTTGGAGACCTAGAAGGGAGCCTCGTGCCTCGAGCACCCTCCTATCGTTGTGTCTGGCTCGACAGAGAATCACGACCACGACGACGACGATGCGGGTAGACGGCTTCGCGGCACACACGAGGAACCACGGCGAGGATGAACCTGGACTGGAAGGTGAAGAACGCTGCCTTATCAACGGCAGCTACGGTTCCCGGCTCGATCGGTGCACCAGAGTCGCTCAATGACTAATGGGGTATGCTCGCGGTCGGTATACGAGCAGACACGGAGGGTGCATGTCGTACCAAACGGAGTCGAATTAAAGAAGAAGAAAGAGGAGGAGTAAGAGTGGAAGAGAAGAAGAGGAAGAAGCATAGGGGCCCCTTTTGGATCAGCTGCAACTTCGAATAACTTGTTCGAAGGTGCAGCTGTGGACTAGCATGTCGCTACCAGCAAAATGGAATACCCAAATGTTTCCTTCTGTTTTCCTTTGCAGTTCGTACGATGCAAATCAAATGCAATCGACGGATGAAATCTAGGAAAAGAAAGACTGTTCAAGAACGAGACTATATAAACCCGAATCGGTGTGTTTTTGGCTATAGGACACGGTCACGGATATTTCTTTAGAATTCGATGGAATATTTTCGTTGTACGTACGAGTGTCGGTACCAAAACCTCCTGGAACACGCGTTACTTTATGTAATTTGTATATATTCGAGTACGTTCGTAAGAGCACATTAATGATAATATTATAGATCAATTTGTAGTGAAAAAAATTCACGGAGAAAGTAAACGCTGAGAAGCGAGAAAAAACACTGAACGAGATGCGCGTGTACGTGTATAAATGCCTTTAGAGTAGCTGTGAATCGATGTAAAAGTGACGTACGGTGAAAAAGAAAAAGAAAAAAAATTGGATGAATTTACTACTGCGCGATAATGCCACAATGGGCCTTCAATTTCTATTTCTATTTAAGATATTTCCTTCGTATTCTGTCGTCATTCACGAAACGAGCAATTAGTTTCTCGCAAACGATTCCTCCGCCAAACTTTTCGTTTTCGTATAGCGCGTCGCTAGTTTCTGGTTGGTCGAAAAGGATGCCGAATTAGAATGATCAAGAGTGTTAAAAATATCGACATACAGTGTCACAAAATCAATTCAAAGTATTTCTTCGTTCTTTGTTCTCTTTGAAAGCGGATCGTTGGACGTTCGTTTCTCGCGTGGTATTTTTCTTCTTTTTTTGTTAACGTTTTTATTATAACGATGAATCGCGTTAGCTCGCTACGTCGGTTTGTAAAGTTTCGAATTTTTGTTACGACTCATATACACGATCCTGTATATAATGTATTGTTTTTAGGGGTATGTAAATGAATAAGTTCAGTTCGATAAGCTGTATACACCCACATGCGCGCTGGGCTACTCTCGGTTCAGAGATTTCATACGATTGAATAAGTGAAAGAAAAAGCTCAAATTGAAAATTAAAAAAAAAATTTTTTTTAACTAATTAACGAGTTAACCGTGAGTAGCCTAGCCTTCATGACGTCGTACGGTATAAGGTATAAACAGTGCGGTCCACGAGAGAGCTCTTTGCACCTTATGCTTCCCCACCATCATCATTTTCTTTCAGTCTCCCTTGCAACCAGGCTAACAGTTCCGGAACCACACGGCTCTCCCTACCCTGACAAACATATACACATGTAATCTCCACTTGTGGAGTGTGTGTGGCAAGTGCATACGAGCACGTGCACCTACTTACATAAAGGTGGGAAACCGTCTGATTCCCTAAAGGACTCTCGTGGTCGGCACTGTATTACAACATGGACTCTGCGAACGTTGTTCGGTGCAATGCTTGGTCCCTTCAATTCCTTTTACGTCGTCTTCATGGTATACCTTGACGAAGGACCAAGAGAATTCACTGTTGTGTGTTTACGTAAATGCTGGAAATCGGTTGGTGGTTAGCTTCTATGCAGCTTACTTAGTGCTGTCTATTGGTGAACATTCCGAGAGAAAACACTCGTGTTAGTTATTCCATGTCCGAAATATCGAAGGAACCTTGAAGCTTAAGAAAAGACAGCACTGCCTTAAACTTATCGACGTCCAAAGTTCAAAGAAATGGTAAAACAGAAATGGGATGATCGATGTGTGTCGCGTATGCAGCTGATTTTTTTCTTTTTACATTCGACCATTTTTGTATGTTTCGTAGGATCGACAGCCCTTGTATCGTTTCCACCGAGAGCATAGAAAAATCCGATCAACCTTTTATACAAGTTCGTTCTCTCGTCTTTCTGCCACGTAATAACGATATTTGAATCGGCTCGGTTTCGTCAGAGACGTCAAGGCAATGACGAATCTGCTGGTAGAAACGTGTTTGTAAATTGAAAAATCGATTATTGGAAATAGAAAGAATGAGGAAAGCGTGGAAACGATGTAAAGAGAAATCCAATCTTCCTTTCGATCGTTTGGATCGCGTTTCAAGGGTTATCTTGCATCCGCTGAGAGGACCGATTCTTGATCCGTGGTTCAACGCGATTCACACTGTAAATAGCTATGTTAGCACCCCTCAAGCAACTAGTTATGTATAAAGTTTCGTACGTTGTTTAGGTTTTTAGTACTAGTTATCCGAGATCAGTTACCAATTATACGAACAAATTGCAAATATACCGCAAAAATATAATTCGCCGTTCTACTCATCTACCTCAGCCCTTTCCCTGTGATTTACGCAACAGAAAGCACCTACACAAGGAGTGGGCACATAGCGTCCCGCTAAGAGTTAAGGCCCATCTAGCTCCGACCAATCAGACCCAATTCCTTAGGAGTCTCAACTTAGTAGACGCGTACTGTACATAGCCTATATTGTGGAAACTTCTTTATCAGAATGCTCCAAAAAGCAAGAGTTTATGGCATTTCAGACCGTCATAAACCGGGAATTTTCTGGGGAATCAAGGAGGGGATGGAGTACTAGATTTCCTAAGAATGGAAACTTGTAAGTATTATAAAGTCATAATATGTGTGTAACAATATAAGAAGTTAGGTACTATAGAAACATAAATCTTGGAACTTACTCTTTGACCACGGCTTGAACGCAGAGCATGCCCAACACTCTCCTGGTTGGCCCGCGTTAATGGCGCTCTCTGATTGGTCAGTGTTTTTCGTGAATAACTCGAAAACGAAGCCTTAACCAACATTTTGGCAAAGGAAAAAGTTGTTTAGAATCACCTCGGCAATCATCCCTCCACGGGTTCTACCCCAGTTCTGGGACACTCTGTATATCGAAGATGATCTTCGATCCTAAGGAATCGATGGGTCAAGGTCTTCGGAAGAAGAAAACTTGAGAATACAGTTTTTTGGTACTTTTTTATTAAGTGTTGCGAATATATATACAAAGGATGGCGAACTAATAATAACTATTACATTAGAACCAAATAAACAAAGGTTATCATGATAGTATTTAACGTATGTTAACATTCGTTTAAATAACATAATGGTTGCAACGGTGTGTGCCGAAATTTTCAAAAAAGATGTTGGTCAGTGCGTACGCGAAAGGCGTCTCATTGTCATTCATTTATTTGACGCACACGTAAAATATGTGTAATTGCTTTCATACTGTATCGACATTAGCTTCAAAACGTTCGATTCTCGAACAGAGAAAAAATGGGTTCGAGATCGGGATCGATATCCTGTCGGTAATCACTATTGGAACAGTTACACTCGATATTAATAACGAATCCACCAAACGTTCGTTTAATCGAATCGATATTCGTTTGCTCCCCTCGAAAATGAGGGTAATTCGCATTTTCAATTGAAACGATAAGTTAGAATTAAAAAAGAAAAATAATAATAATAATAAACTACTACCCGATTAGTATCTGTTTGCAGAACGTTTTCACGTCGAACGAATCGTGATCGTGTTATCAAACGAATTGGAAATCGATAGGCGTGCTTGTTTCGTTGACGTATTAAAAAGGTGAAAAATTTTCTATCGTTCCCGCGTTCCCCTGATATTTGTGCGTTTAAATCGCGACTGTTCGAATTCATTCGAAACGCGGTTCACGAAGCCTACGATTCAAAAAGTTGCGATTAATTGACGCGGATACAAAATCGTGTAAAAAAATGAGAACACTTTTTCCCGATTCATCGATCGATCGATCTTGGATTTCCAATCGCGAGAACTTTCATTTCGTTAAGATACCTTATGTTGACCGTTAGCTATTGTTAATTTTGGTGGACGCGCCAACGAGGTTTCGTGAATTTATTCATTCAGACATAGCAATAACACGATGTGTTCGCTCTTAAAAAACAAAACATTGATATTCGTATTCATGGCATCGAGAAGGATTGCCGTAATCTTAGCGTGCTTCATTTTTCTTTTTTATTGCTTCCCCCCCCCCCGTTTTCATTGCTAATTAATAGTGACCTCAATTCTCATTTCGTCTAATAAAATATCCTTCCTAAGTAAAGCGATTGATCGTCTGGCGCACTTCACCTTCTGTCGCGTCTCGATCCGCACGCGGCCTGTCGTTTGTCTCGAAAAATAATTTTTTCTGCAGGGAACGTCAAATGATTTTTGTTTCTCCTCGAAGCTTTTCGAAGCGATAAACAACAAGGAACGCGATCTTAATGCAAATTGTAATACCATGGTACGTTATCAGACATTTACTCCCGGAGTTCTGAAAATTAAATGAGAAAATTGAGCAGTTTCAAAAGAATACAAAAAAAAAAAAAGAAAAAAGTCAAGTTCGAAGGCGTTCCTTTCGCCAAAAATCATTCCACGATTTCTGCACCCGCCTCCTCCCCCATTTCTGCCTACAATAATTACACTTTTCGTTTAATCACAAAAATAGAATTCTTAAAACTTAAACTCAGTTCACTCGCACTCTATTTTCTTCTCTCTTTCGCGCGCATTTTTTTTTTTAATTTCTTTTATACCCCACCCCCACACATCACTTTCTCGTTTTCTTCTGTATCTTTATACACCCATACATGCATACACACACACACATACACACACAGAGGCAATCTATTTGCTGAGAAGTATGCAGTTAGCGTTGACAAATTAGTTGTTGCGTTATTATTGATTTATCCGATCGAACAATCATTTCCACGCTCGATCGATCTGATAATTTGAGAAAGTGTATACGTCACTATATAAACAATTCGTACACCGCGTACCTAAAAATTCATTCTCATCATTTCGATAAATAAATTACTTTATACAATTTAACAAATCGCTGACGCAATGATGGTGTATAAATTTAAAGAAACATTCACGATTAACAACGATAGAATTGTTTGAGCAATAATTGAATTGTTCTTTTCAGAAAGTGCATTTGACTTCGATTGATGCAACACGATGATTCAGCAGCAACGACGATAATTAACATTCCCGCGAACTCGATGCCGGATATTAATTAAACGTAATTAGTTGTTAAAAGGGAAAATTTAAAAAACCCACAGATGCTAAAAAAAAAATAAAAAAAAAGAAAAAATGTCGATTTCTGCATTCAGACCAAGGAACGACCTCCAACCTTTTCGATCCTCTCTAAGAATCACTCGTGTAACAAAGAAGGGCTGTAACAATTATTCTACAATAACGATTATAAAACTATCTTTTCATGTTCCTTCGTTTCGAATTCAGGAAAGAAAGAAAATAGAAACGAAGCGAAAGAAAGGGTTGAGACTTGAATCGTCGTCGCAGCGAGCAAGCCAGCAAGTAATATGTATGTATGAAAATAAATAAGGAATAGTGATTCTCGATAGATGAGACATTAAATGAAATCACTGTTCTCTATCACTCGTATTTAAACGATTTAGTGTTTTTTTTTCTTTCTTTTTCGCGTGTACTCTCATTTTTTCCATAACAAACACATGCACGTGACACATAAGCGCGTTATTCAAAAAAAGCTAAGAAACAGAGAGAAAAAAAAAAAAATCAATTAACAACTTTGTTGTCAATCATCGGTTTACTATTTCGAAGTACACTCGATACGCACTGCACACAGCTCAGTAAATACCGTTTTGTGAATTCAGACGCCACCGTCTGTCGATAACAATAATTACATTTACCATCGATATCCGTCGATCGGTGTTTCACATTTCTTTAGTTTGATATACATATATTTATATTTATATTCATATTTATATATATATAGATATATCAAAAATATCCTTAATAAAATAGAGCATTTTAATATGTATAACGTACCATCAAGTACTTTTTTTTTTATTATAATTTTATCCACTATATATATATATTTTTTTTTATAAGATTCAGTATTATATATATTTTTAATATACATACAATACTCACGCCAACATTCTTTCCTATCGTTCACGCGCATGGGCAATTCACACAATATACACACGGTTACCGTGCAGCATCGTGCATGTAAAATATATGTATGTGTACATTTTTATACGTGTCGCCACGTGAACGGTTTTTTAGATTAGATTACGCACAACTCAGGCTCCTGGATTTCTTCGTTTACACTGCGTCATGGTTACGCTTGTTTTATGATCGTTTCGCGACTATACAGACATATTTATACCTTTTAGATCCTTGGATAAGTTGCTCGATGATTAAGCAAAACGGGTGATTGATTCGCGAACAATTTGATTGTCTAAAACTGTACATTCGTTTACTTCGTATCTCGATGAAAGGAAAAAGAAAAATTATATTTTTAAATAATCGTTGCTATTAATGAGCAACTTATACCCTCTAGAAATCATCAGGAGAACAACCGAGTGGTTAGTCTTCCATGGAAATAGAAAGATCTTCCAAATCATTTAGAATCATTATCGTTCTAGCTCACCACAGCCGATATTAGACATATCTTTTTAAGTAGTAAAATATATATATATATATGTATGTTCGCTATTGAACCGATTCTGTTTCAGCTTACTTCATTACACATACTTTGATCCACTTCCATTATTTTAGTGCTAATGATTTTTCGTAACTAGTGCACAGTCGAACAACGATCAAAGTAGATGCACATTTACTAGGAGAACTACCCAAGTGTTACACTCACTTATTAATGAAACTTTGCCAGCTTGCAGAGCTCGTCGAGCTGTACACGCCTATACCCCGTTTTGTGGCCAGACGACTAATTGTTTAAAAGATATTAATAATTACAGTTAGTTACTACTTACATTGAGAAGTATAACAAAATCACACACATGAACAGTTAGCCCTGTGGCTAAACGCTGGACTCGTAATGCGAAGGTCCGCGGTTCAAATCCATAGGCCCCAAATGTTTTTTTTTTTTTTTTTTTTTTTTTTGGGCAGGTTACATGCAATGCAATTTTTATAGAATTTCGATTATGTTCTCCATGCAGCATACTAACACTATAAAAAAAAACAGTAACCCAAGATTTGAGCCGAGCACCTTTACATTGCGAGTTGTATGTGTGAGTCTGTTATACTTTTCAGTGTAAGTAGTAACTAACTTTAATTATTAATATCTTTTAAACAATTAGCCGTCTGCCCCCAAAAGGAGGTATAGGCGTGTTCAGCTCGACGAGCTCTACAAGCTGGCAAAGTTTCATTAATAACTGAGTGTAACACTTGGGTAGTTCTCCTTGCTAGAGGAAAAGAAAATACATTAATTTAATAATTATAATCGTTATAGCAAGCAACAAGTGTTTTTGAATTTTAAGCAAGAATGTCGATGATTCGCCAGACTCTGTCGGTAGGAACAATATCGACAAATTACCAATATAAGTTCCCTTCTTTAGTAAACTATAATCGGTTCAAAGGTGACCTCAGTTTGAATAAATTTTTATCATTTTCCAGAGGAATCCATTGTTCAGCAGATGACAACTAAATCTTCCCTCCTTTCTTCCGTTCCCAATTTTGCTTTCTCGATCCTTTCACTCTTTTTATCACGTGCGACCGACAACCATCACTTTACCGCAAAAGCTAATTTACATTTCTCTCTCTTTCTCTCTCGTTTCCTTTTCTAAATCGTCAACTATTTACAATCAATAAGGTTCTATTAAGGCAATTACTGTCGTAACGACGCGTTAATCAAATAGATGCTCGCCAACCTGAACGAGATCCAGGGATTTCTTTCTCTTCCCTGAATTCTTTGACTTGTCTCATTTTCACGTGGCGACCATGCAAACGTACAAAGAAAAAAAGAAAATGGACCTTCTTTCCTCTATTTTTCTTTCTTTCTCTCTCTTTCTCATTCTTCATCCTTGATCTTTATCTTATTCGTTCATACATTCACTCGAAAAAGAATCTCGAAATCTCAAACCTCTGTTGAACTAGCGAATCGCATTTATACGACTTAATAGAGGAATCCTACTAAATTCGTCGTGGCGTTATTTAGAAATTGAATTATTATTCAATAATAATGTTCGTAATGAAATAATAATGATAATAATAATTGGTTACCAACTAGAAATAATTATCAGTTATGTACAGAGTAGTATAATGATTATAGTAACGCAATAAATAAGCTCCAGGCATGTAAGCCTACATTTACTCGTAAAGAATGTATTTACCAATTCACACGATAACACAACTTTCTCACTGAACAATCGCCCGTCGATAGAATTAATTACATCTCGTCATTATGCTCTTTTCAAACGAGCAGGCCAAAATATATAATTTCTAATGTACAATTGATCTCCGGCCTGTGTGTATGTACCTCAATACTTTTAAACGGCTACGAAAGACCATTCCTTCCATTCGTTTCTCGTGTCTCCTCCTCTAGAACACATATCCCTGGATAGGTAAAAAAGAAACATTGCTGTTGGCGTACAGGAGAAATCGTAACGAAATCTGTACCGCGCCAGGCGATGCGCGATGCCACGGTTTCTCTCGTTTCAGAGCAGGTGTAGAAAGACAAATCTTCACGCCACATTCTGATTTACTCTTTATCCTTTAACGTTTCTCCCACACCTTCTCGAACGAGCAAAACCAAGCGTGCAAGGCGGATACACACGGTTCGACATTTCCCTCGTGATGCGGAAAAAGGAACGAACTACCGATTTGAAATCGTTCTTCGATGCGGCCATTTGCGCGCGATCATCCCTCTGGATCTCGAAGAACGCAAATTAGATTAGATATGTCTAGCGGTGGACCGTGTGATTAACAACAGCAAGGCAATCATTTCCTCGTGAAATCCGAAGAGAAACGATGCTTCTCAGTCGCGACGTCTTTTCCTCGACACGAAGAAAGAAACAAAGGGGCGCGAAGCGGTGTTTTTAGTCGTCTTTCTTTATCCTCTTCGTTTAAACCCCTTTTTTTTAAGTCGTGCAACGAACAACCCGTTCGTTTTATTTTATTTTTTTTTTTCTTTCCTGTACGTATACATCTATATATATATACTTAACTATATGTTTTTTTTCTTTTTTCTTTTAGTGTGTTTCAAGTCCTTTCAACATGTATATATTCTCTCTGTCATTAAAAACTAACACGACTTCATTTGCATCACACTTTAGGCACTTTTCCTCGGAAACAAATTTCTCCCAACGGTATTTCATTTTTCTTCCTTTGTTCACGCTGATGCTTTGGTTGTGTAGTTTTTTAATCGTTAGTATTTTTGTTTCTCTTCTTCTATTCGTTTCTTGGCTATCGTTCGTTCAGTGAAACATTTATACTATCTATGTACGTAGGCGCGTATGCGATTACGATTCGCTGCACGCACCCGTCGTACAATCGGTTTCAACAGCGCAGCCCTTCGAGCACGCTCGTCTATATAAGGCAGGTTTTCGTCGCTTTTTATCAGTGAGCGTTGCGAACTTTGTAGAGACAAAACGTAAAATCGATCATTCCTTATCTTTCATCTCGCGAAGCGTTGATTTTCGTTAACATACCTCCACTAATCAGCCACACATTCCTCGCTCTCTTTCTCGCTAATCAGATACAAATACAATCATCACCCTCGTATACGTTCTATTATTTTACTTCGTTCTAAAGAATTAATATCTATTTTACTTACACTGTTCCTTTGTTCGCCATTCATTTATCGGCAGGTTTGGTGACCGTCTGCGGTATTACCGTCAACGACTTCGGAATTTTTGGCAATATCGGAATATGGTTGGTCATCTTCGTGGTCACCTGTATCGACTTTGGCAGGTTCAGATTGTGCAACAAATTTTGGGTCGGGCTGTTCTCGTTCGCTAGCGAGCGAACATCGCATATCAACGGCTCGAAGTCTCCCCTGCTTTGACGGTTCAACATTTCCTGTTGCATCTTCAGGTGCTTCTGGAATTGCGTGTGCGCGACGATCTGCGTTTTTTGGTACTGCGCGTTAGGCTTGATGTTCGGCGGAGAGCTCGAACTACCGGGGCTCATAGCCTGCTTATCCGCCAGCATCTGTTTCTGCTTCTTCAGATTCTGTAACCGCTTGAACTCGGGTTCGCTCAATTGAAATACCTTCCCACCGGTCGTGGCTGGCTGCTTCTGACCATCCTTTCGCTTCACGTTACCGTTCGTGGTGGTTGTCGCGGTGGTGGTGCTGCTGGTAGACGGCAAATTCAATCGTTGCAAGTTAGGGGGTGGTTTCTTGATAATTGACACACCTGGATTTAATTTGACGACGTGCGAAGGACTTCCTTTCGCCGGTTGCGTCGTGCTCGATGAACCTTTCGTTGTGTTCGTACTCTGCAAAGATTGTCTGTCCCTCTCGAGTACGTAGCCGCCGCTTAAGCGACGTGAATTATGATACTCCGTTGCGATCGGCTCCATTATCGGTTCGTCCATTTTTTCGGGACCTTCGTACGAGATCAATCGATTCTGCACGGAGGTTGAATAATTAATCGCGTTTCTAGAAGCGTTCGGTGCTAATACCAAGTCACCGGATCTATAATATTTCTCTAAAAGTATTAGGTGTCTAAGGAAAGAGCTCTGGTTTCCGTATGGTCTTTGTAATTCTTGCCAGAGTAGCTTCGTATCCCTGTCGTACTGTATCATGGTTG